CTTGTTCTTAAGGATTTTATTGCTCTCTCTGCTGCTCTTTGAAGTGTTGGTCTTCTAAACTGACTGGACAGGAAAAAAAGCTATAATGTGAATTCATGGAGTTAGGATTTGTCTGTGAACAGTACTGAACATGTTTCCAACATTCAATAATTCTATAGGCAATCCAGTATAATGCAAACTTGCTTTCCAGAAGAGTGTAGATCGTTGTTTTTAGTGTTTGCCTGGGGACAAAAAAGTTTGCTCTGGAATATAAGGTACCTGCAACAGAAAGACCAAACGTGGTCCCTTCTAAAATAGGCAATGTGTCCCATAAAAGGTGACTCATAGTCCAGGTCATGACAGACAAGGTGGTTCAGATCATCAGTACTGACAGTCAAGGTCTGTAGTGGTTGCTGCCACATGGAAGGAGGTGTAATACATACGCATAGACATTTCTCCAGGCTGAAGGATGGGATAATCTTTGGCTGTGTCAGGCTAGTACTGGGTGGCATTATTATATGAAATTATTATATGTATACTATATAAGCCAGTTAACATTCTGCAATATTTTGTTATTATATGAAATAATGTCTGTAGAATGAATTTTGGTGGGGGTAGGTTCCCTTTATCCCTCCACCCTGCATTTGAGTAAATATGGTTACAGTAAATCTAAAATTGAAAATTATAGTTTCAAAAAGGGAGACAGTAGGGATGGAAAATCATACTGGGACTTGGGAATCTTCATTCTGCAGTGAATAGCTTACATGTTCTGCAATTGTTGCCTGAGATGGTTTTGATGAACAGTGTCATTCAAGTCTTGGTCATAGTGATAGAATGAAAAGCTGTAATGTCATGCAGGAGATCATAAGGTCATAGTGCGTCATCTTAATGAGAATGGGAGGAAGTAGCAGATGACAAGAAGGTGGAGAACACGGAATTTGAAACTGAACCAGAAGAATCAGGCTGAGATATGGCAGCAAAAGCAGCACAAAATATCCATACCAGGCCAGAGTATCTGAAACTTCCAAACTTAATTTCATGTTCCTGTTTTTAGTTAATTAACTGTGTAATCCTTTGTAAGAAAAGAAAAAAAGTGAAGTCTTTTTATCCCTTACTAGGATTGAATAAGTCATTTTAAGATCCTAAAAATAAGTTATGAATTTATAGTCATCCTATTTGCTGGAGGGTTTTGGCAAGATCCTCAGAATAATGATTTGATCTAAGGCTGCAACTTAGCTGCAGTTCTTCTCCAATTCAAAATTTAGTATTCCTTCCATCCCCTTCCAAGTTAATATGTTGGGAAAAGGTAGGAATTTGCTCCAGGGACTTCATAACCTGGGATTTCTGGGAGGAAAAGTTGTTTAAAATATAAAAAACTTCTTTAACCCTTTTAAGGGAAAAAAAAAAAAAAACAAACCAAAACCACAAAGAAAAACACCCCACAAACCCCTACCATCAACAAGCAAGAACTGAGAGACCATTGTTCTTTACTATTTTCATGCCATGTAAAGGCAAACAAGAGAAATTGCTTTGTTATTGCAGATAAATCCCTATAACAGAAATCAGGTAATCATTTCATAATTATGGGATCATTAATAATTTAATTATTTCAGGTTATTTACAACTATCTTCACTGTTTGAGAACACATTCAGGTATTATCTCATCTAAGTTACAAATATGAGATATTAGTGATGTCTGAAGAAAAAGGCTGGTTTTGCTGCATTTTATTTATGAATCAAAGTTGAAAAAAATTGTAGCTCAAAATGTTGCAGTTGAATTTGACTGGACTGTAGCCTATGCATTAAATATGGCTGGGATTTTGGTTTTGCTGTTTAAGTAATAGGTACAGGAATTAATATTGTACAGTCAATTTCACGCGTATAGACACAAAGTAATTTTAAAATTAATTCCAAGCATGTGTAGTGCAGATAGATGGGGTTCTGGCAAACTATTTCTGGTTCCAAACAAATATAGTTAAAAGCTTGTGAAGCCCAGTGTTAAAGAGATATTTCACTATACCAAAACAAAAATATAACCATCTTGTCCTGAATCAAAATCATAAATACAAAAAAATTGTTTTGATATCAGTGCAGGCATTGGTAGGGTCAAGAGAACAGTGAGGCAGGGACAGATTTGACACCAGCCTCCCTGGACCACAGAGGACTTTGGAGTGGGAATGCTTTTCCTGTAGTGACAACAGGTTTCTACATTAAAGTAGGTGAAATATCACGTGCCCTTAATGAGGTAGAAACTACTACTTAGTAAGTGGGGACTTTCAAATGTTGTTTAGTCCTCTCCGAAAGTACAACTACTACAACTCCATTCATTGGGCAGTTCATGGCATGGTATTGTCTCCAGGAAATGGGTAACATTCTTGCAAGTATTGATACCTTCTCTTTGGATGGGGTTTATGTCTTCACTCCAGTTTAAGGAAAAAATACATTATCCTTTTAATAACTGTCTGGTTTTTGTGTTTGGTGGGGATGGGTGGTTCTGAGACTGCTAATGACCATTCAACGATGGTAAGCCCTAGCTGATTAGGTACAAAACTTAACAATCTGTTCTAAATATATTGCCTAGTAAGTGCTTTAAACGTATAACCCATTTAGTGTTGATACAGATTTTTTGTCACAGTTGTTCGCAGTGGAGCTATTTCTGTATGCACTGAAAATTAAACTTTTTTTCAGCTTGCATTTGGTAAAATGTGTTAACTGAACTGGAAAAATATATTTCTGTAATTCAAATTTCTGTGTCTGTCCTCAGGTCTCCAAAGCAATTGTAAGGAACACACAAGCTGTGTTAGAGCACAGATTTATCGTTATTTACTTTGTGTTGAGAACCTTTATTTTTTTACTTAATTTATACTTGATGCAAAGGACGGTTTGATTTATATGATTGATTTTTAGGTTAAGAAGCACTAGCTAATATCTTTAAATACTTTTTACTACTGTATATATGCCAAGACTGATAATACATTAGAGAGAATGCTTCAGGCTCTGATGGACAAAATGGCATAAGTAATGCAGAGTACAGTAAAAGAAATTAAGTTCATTAATGAGTTTTTTACATACATACTTATTCTGCATTGTCTGAATGCTAAAGCATATTTAGACAATAGTTAATGATCACTAAACAATTATATTTAATAATCACTATACAAGTTAAACTGCAAGTGAATTGCAACCAAGTTTCTGAACAAGTATTTGACCTTGGGCAAGACTGTTAAAAAGTGTTACAAAAATTAGCAAATGAATGGGTGGATTAATTCGGGGAGGAAAGCCTCATTTCCTGTTTTGTCATTTATGGGTATTATGCTTGTTACTTAGGTTAAAGCGGAAGAGGGAAAGGGAGGGGTCTATTCTGCCTCTAGATACCCAGAATACGACTCTCTAAACATGACAAAGTTATTTACATGTTGAAGCATCCAGACAAAAAAGAAAAAGATATATGAAGTCTGACATTAAAAAATCATAGATAACATTTCAATATTTAATATAGCATGAAGAAATGTGTAGTTTTCTTGAATAGGCATTTTTTGTGTGTGTGTTCTTCCTGTGATGTATTTTTTTTTCTTCTGTTCATTTTAGATAAATGTAAAGCATTGACTTATTCGTCCTCATCACTTGCATCCCTTTTAGACAACTTTCCATGTTGTTGAAATTTACTCATTGATATAAGGTGATATGATGATAATATGATGTGCTTTGCCCCAGAAATGATAGCAGAAATACTACCTATTGGTGCTCTGGTGTCAATGTGATGCCAGCCTTGTACTAATTTTTTTTCTAAAACTTGCATATATAGCTTAACCTCAGTATTTATAGCTAGGAATTACCATTCATTGCAGTAAGAGGGTAGTAGCCAGGAGGTTTTTTAGTCTTTAACGGCACCACTAAACATAGGCAATAACAACCCCAAAGAAAAATTACTAAAACAAATCTCAAAGATGTCTGTCGGCACATAGTTCCCTATGCACGTGTGGGTAAGTGGTTATTTAAAATCACAGTCAGTAAGAAAGCTCATCTTCAATTAATTAATGACTTTGAAAATTTAACAATGGAACTGTATCTTTAGTTACATAGAAGGGTATGCTGAATAAGCAGTTATGTTATCTTCACCTGATGGGTGGTGACACCAAGGAACAAGGACAAACTAATCCGCAAACATAACAAAACTTACCTATTTTAGTAGTTTATCCCCTGCCTTATCCCTTTGAATGTACTGTATGATGTCTAATAAGGCTAGGAAACTTGGTCTAATAATTCAAAATTATTGGGTCTTCAGATGTGGAGAGGAAAATTGTAGAAATAACTTTTAACATTTTAATGTATTGTTTATTCTAGGTTGTATTGTCACATGGTGTTAAAAAATAATAATACAGAAACTTTGGGCTAAATGACACTTATGATTAAATTGCATTGAGATGTTTTAAAAAATCTTTTTAGCATATTAAAAAAATGCAAAATTTTACACTTTTTTAATACATTGTTTTGTGTGGTGGGTGTGGGGTTTTTTTGGTGTTTGTTTTTTTTTTTTTCTTTAATTGAGAGTTTCTCCAAATAAATAGAGCACAAGACTATGACAATTTTATGATTCAAAACCAAAGGCTCATTCCAAGAGTTGGGAGAACTGATTCTGTAATAACTTTGTGTGACACCTTGAAAAAAGTTACTTAATTTATAAGTAATATCTCCTTTTTTTTTTTTTTTTAATCAGGACAATTGTATAATATAAATAAAGAGGAAATTTATGCTATAATATCTCATTTTTTGTTAATACTCTGCTGTGCACACAGTGTGTATTTTCCTGAATATCCTAATTATTCAGGCTACAGATAGGTTAAAATTATTATATTTTATATTAAAGACTTACTGACAAATACTTTTCTCAGGAATTCTTCTTTTAATTTCATATTTTTACTTCTAATATTTGAGATTTTCAATACACATTGTAATGCCTTAATCTTTGTGTCCCATAGATAGATACAAGTTCTTATTGATCTGTGTCATCACCTTGGCAGGACGAACTCTGCTGGAAAAGCTCTTCAGCCAGCAGGAAAATGCACCGCAAGAAGAAGCAGAAAAACTATGTTCTCGCATTATTGCAATGGGTCTTTTGCTTCCATTCACCGACTGCTTCAGAGAACCATGCAATCAGAGTGCCCAGCAAAGCACACCCACATTTGATGTAAGTATTGAAAAAGTTATCTTTTTTCTGTTTTGCCAAGAGGGACATTGTTATGGCTTATCAGTCCAGAGAGAGTTCTGTTAGTCCTTTTGATGAAAATTGCCTATATTAGAGTGGCCAGCTATTTTTCTGAGCTCAGGCATGTACGCTTTAGTAGCCAGGTAAATATAAGTTTTTGAAAGGTTCTCCCACAGCTTGATTTCTTAACGTTTTAACTTGTATCTTAGTCTGCTGTACTGTTCTCATCTGTTGTTTTCATGAAGTCTTTTTCTTTTAATCAAAGCACGCTATAGGACTATCAATGTTTCAATCCAATAGTTGCTTCGCCAAAAATATAAATTAAAGGAACAGCAGAAAACAGCATGTCGCAACACTTTACAAAGCCCAAATGGGATGTCTATGCTAGATTTTTTTTTTTTTTCCCTGGAAATACTTTTGATACAAAATAGTGCAGGAGTCAGTGCAAATTTGCTGGCATCTTGGCACAGTGTTATGTGACTTTGGGCTATCTGTCCACAGTGCTGTTATTGCCGGTGTTTACATACCGTTACAAAACTGTGGTGTAGACTCGCCTAACACACTTTTCCTGCCTCTTGGATAATGAATTCAACATTAAGGTGTCTTTCTATTGTGTGATACTGTACACCCCATAAAGTTTTATGGTGAACTTTTTTATGATCCTTCCCATTAAATTTTATCTTGACACTTCTTTGTACTCGTTTATGTGACTGAAGATAATCAGGGTCTTTCTCTTCGCTAATTAACTTCAAAATAATGTAGAAATATTAACTGATCTACTTAATACCTTACTGGTAAAGTGAAGATAATCCCTATTCTGTGCATTAAGCTGAAGCTTGGTTAGAAGTACTCAATAAATGATTGGCATAGATATGAAAGAACATGAATTTTTTTAAACTTCTTTAAAACATTCTTATCTTTCTTGAAGAATAGTTTAACACAGCTGGTGAAGGAAAAATGGGTAGAATAAATTTGTGCAATTAATTCTTAAAACAAACAAACTAGGTTATCTAGGAAACCTTATCTACAAAATCATTCCATGGTTCCTCTAACAGTATTCAACTTTTACTTTTTAAAAAAAACCCAAACCTAATCTTCGAGACATTTTCAAACTGGGTTTTTTTGAAATTAATTGAAAAATGGAGCGTGACTATAAAACTGAGGTTATTCAGACAACTTTAAAATCAAACACCATCTGAAAGTGTTTATGGTTAAATATACTCAATAAAGTTACTGGAAAAGACACTTATCTTATTTTTCAGGTTAAATCAGTCTGGCAATGTTTGTAGTTCTGTTTTTACCATATATTCAGCTAATCTTCTCTTTTTTAAAATATTTTTAAAACTTTTTTAAAAAGTTTCCCTTTACTTATAAGCAGATTTTAAGTTTGGAAAGAAGCACAAGTGGCTCTTTTGTTAACAGGTACACCATGCTTTGCCTGAGTAAGAGAATTATTCTAGTTGTCTTTCATTGACCGTATCCAACAGGACAGACTTTCTGAAAAGAGACAGTAGCCATGAGAACAGTGTGTCAAAGTCAGCAGTGTAAGACGCTGCTGGTTTAGCAGTGATCTTAATTTGAATTGGACTATCAATAAGGTGCAAATGCTTGGTTACTATTTTTTTCTGCGGAAGTCCACTTAAATAGATTATGCTGCTGTAAAACAGTTTCAGAAATTGGTGTGTAGCCATGTGTATGCAATTGGTAGTGCATCCTACTTGAAAGGACGATACATCTGTTATATGCCCTACAAGGGTAAAAGTGTTCAGAACTTCTAGTATAAACCCTGGTGGCTGAGAATTTCAAAATTAGGTTTCTCCTAGCTGATTTTGCTTTTGAGAGTGAGTGAATAAAATATCTTATAGCAAATAAATGTTAATCGTTATTTATGGAAATGAAAAAATTAATGTGAAAAACTTATAGTGATGTTGTATATTACTTAAAAATGGACGTGTAAGATCTGTGAATCATGGCTCTTCTTGCATCTATCTCCATGTCTGTACATTGCTTTTTTTTTTAATTTAGGTTTTGGTTTTGGGGTTTTTTTTTTTTGTTTGTTTGTTTTTTTGGTGTGTGGGGTTTTTTATAATTCATTAGGACAGGATTTTACTGTTGATCTAACCATTGATTTCAAAGACAGAAATTAGACTAGCCTTAAGTAATACTTAAATTTCACCCATCTATACTAAGGAGATACATCATCTTTGATCTTACTCCAAAATTGGGAGCACAGCCTGTCCCATATTCTTCCTTCACCTTCGAGTAAATCAGATGTGCCTCCAGTTCCATCCTGGATTGCCTCCAGTTTGGCTGGTGTCCTATTTACTCAGCTGAAACTGCCATCAACAAAGCTCCTGTAACTCTGTCCAGATCCCAGCCAGGTTTGTCTGCCACTTTGCTGCCCTTCCTCCGTGCTACTTCCAGCTCTGGTGCTTGTTCCGTAATGTTACTCATTTGGCTGTTTTGATTTTTGTCTTGGTCTGGTGGTTCTTATAAAGTCTCTTAGGTCACTCTGTTAGCATGGGTTTTTTTTTGCAGAATTACCAACAGTTTTTCCACTGAAATCCTTCCTTGACTCCCTCCTTTTCTCCTTTTGTGACTAATCCCATGTACTTCTGAACTTTAACTTACTATTTTTTTTTATCTTGAATAAAATTCATGATTCCTCTTTTGCTTAAGTGTGGTCCCACAGACTGTTTTTTGAAGATGTTAGACTACAGTTTATGAAAATAATCCACTATGTTCTGTTCACTCTATGATCTATTGCTTATGGCTTGAGATTAATATAAACAGATTATTTAAAAGTCTCACTCTCATCTCCTTTTCTGGATGTTCTCCAGTGAATTTAATTTAACATGGCTAATGCTGAACTCTCTGCTGTCTTGAAATGTTTGCAATTGCACACTCTGATTATATTCTTAGCTTTATTACTCATGCCTGGTGGTCACCTCTAGCTCTCCCTGGTTTACAGCTGTGTATCCAAATCTTCTGTCTGTTTTCTCAGTAATACACAAGATCTGGGTTTTTTCTTTCTCCCAGGATATTCCAGACTTCAGCATGGGCCTCTGCCTCATTCCATTAAATAATTACACACAACTTTTATTTTTCTTATTGGATCCTATCTTTCTCTTCCACACTGTCTGATTACAATTAGGCAATACTTTGAGTAAAGACAACTTTCTTAAGCTAGTATTATAATGGCTTCTGGAAGCCAGTTTAAATTAAATTCTTAGAACTCGTATTTCTGGTGTAGGTTATGCTTTGTGGATGTGATGCTTACTCCATTGTTAGTGTATAGCAGACATGAAAGGACTAACAAATACCCAATGAAAGCAATCTTCAGAGAACTAGAAGTTGTCATCCCATTATACAGAGGTTGGTGTTCAATTTTCAGAGGATTATAACTGTCAGATTTTGGATAGGCATTAATGATGACTGGAAATGGCATGTTCCTGAAATCTCTCACCTTTTTTTCTAGTTTCAAGTCATAACCCAAAGAATAGAAATTTTAAAACTGTTTTAAGAACTTAAGAGGAAACTTTCATGTTCTATCTTGGCTCATTTTATCAAATTTTATTTTTCAAAACAGATTGTGGCAGATGCCCAGAATAAAAGATTAGTCTGAAAAATAAAGATTAAACAAAGCTTTAAAACTAACAGAAGTAGACAGGGTTAGAATTTTTAAGATATTTGTTATTGAAGCTTTTGCTATAGCTCTTCCTACCTCCTCCTCTCATAAAGAATAAGTAAATGTGCAATGGCAGATTCACTGTCTAGAAATATGAGGCCCTTTCTGCTAGTTTCCTGTCTACTGGAGAGGCTGCTAATTTTTGCCTTATGGGATGTCATAATTTCTTACTTGTCAGGCTACCTTTATAACCTTTCATTCTTTTCCTAGTATTTTATAAAAGAAAAAAAAAATTAAAAAAAAAAGGCCAAGATAATAAATATGCAACTTACAGAAAGATAAATTAGCAAAAGCCTAGTCAAAGAATGTTCTCTGAAAAATGTATTGTCTTTTGAATAACTATTGGCTGCTTACCTTTTAAATTTTTCCCTTTTTAACAGTTAAAAGAAGCTGACATATTCCTGGCAATGCAAGGCAATCTTATTTAGCTTCACTGTGCTATTAAGAAACATTGACTGTGCTTCATGTTTGCATTTTATCCAGTAGTTGCAACTACTGCAAACTGTGGATGTCTAGTCCCTAATTATGACTTCTCATTCCAGATTTTCCAGTTCACACTGTGTAGTCTGAAGCTATGGGCATTTTCTTCTTTTTACAGCAGAATTCTGCCTTTTTCCTGACAAGCTTTCCAAGTAGTGTGTTGTTTCTGAACGTTAAGTTTAACTCAAATTCTCAGTGAAAATACAAGTGATTTTGTGAGTGCTTTTGAGAATAGAACTGAGCATACCTTTGTATCCCTGCTATACTCCTTGCTTGGGGAACTTTATCTCTATTGCACACTGAACGATCCAACAACTACTTTTTCTGTGTGGCACTACCCAGCAGTACCATCTTCTATATGTATCTGAAATGCACATTAAGCTTTCATCTTTCTTTATTTCTGGTGTCATTTTGATTGGGCTAGCTCCCTTTACATCTCAGTGCTTTTATTAAATACTGTTACTGTGTTGAGTGCTGCTGTTAATGCCTTCATGATTTATAAATTATTTCATAGTATTATATAATTAAAGTAGTAAATGGATGTTTTGTGGAGGGCATCTTTCTTCACTGTGTGACAATGTGATTTCATACATAGCCATGTTTGACATCTTGGGATAGGGACTGCCCCTTGTGCAATTCTTAGTTAGGATGCCTGGCTAAGTTTTTATCCATTTCTGAAATAATGCTTCCATGAGGAAGCAGAGAGCCAGACTGCATAAATGGGAAATGCTATAAAAATGGCTATGTTCCTATTATCTTCTGGCCACCTATGGTGATGCAATTGCTTTTTAAGGAAATAAAGACACTGTTTTCT